AAGACCTCTTGTCCACTTAAGTTGACATAAATTTGACCGACTTATTGGCCTCTTTGCTTTTTATTTTACACATGCAGCTACTTCGTAGTTCCACCTTGAAAAGAGTATTATTACAAGCATTCAACTCATAACAACCAACCTCTGTGGGCTCTCAATAATATGGAGGGGGTGGTCTAGCTCAACAGGCGACTTGTAGAGAGTATTATTACAAGCATTCAACTCATAACAACCAACCTCTGTGGGCTCCCAATAATATGGAGGGGGTCTAGTCTAGCTCAACAGGCGACGCGTGGCCTGTGGCTAGCATTGCTCAAGTGATTTTGTTAATATCTAACTCCATCTACAAACTGATTGCATTCCCACCCCCCATTGCAGGCTATATGGTCGATTCACAGAAACACAAAGTAAGCTATAGAGAATTGCTCTGATACACTAAATTAAATACCAAACACCTGAGTTGGGGTTACATTACAGAAAACCTCCCTCATTTGCACTTTCAGCAGCACTCATTAGCCCCCTCAACGCATACAATACATGAGGGGCAGGGGGGTTATCTGCGACTTGCCTTTGTCAAAACATGGATCGAAGGGTAGGGGGTCGATCACAATTTACCCTTTGATAACAGACGTGCCTGAATTGGGGCATTCTTACTGAGGAAACAGAGGCAATATCTTCAACCACAAGAATTCTACAACATTGGATTATCAACTCACAAGTAAGCATGTCTACCCATTATTCAACCGTTAACACTCTAAACATTAAGATTGATACAGGTGTAACTTTTTAACAATAACGAAATCTGTCTGTGGTACAATAATGCCCCTCTTTCCTCGGTAAGATTGATGAAATTGCATAAAAACTAATAACAAGGCTTTTTCAAGACTTCTCTAGTACCAGGAACATCATATTGCACACATAAGCACTAGAGCAGTGAGCACATATTTTTGTGATTTGTAGTACAATAATACAGCTCATATAGTTTAAATAGCAGTAGTCTAACTATAAAACCAAGCTAGGTAAGACGCATAAGCTTGTCATGATACAAATACCATCTCGATAAGTGAAAGAGCTTTTTTTTTCCCTGGGGACGCCAGGGGGGGGGGGGGGGGGGTTGGTTGGGGTGGAAATCATCAAGAGTATGTATGTACAGTGTCTCAAAGCCTTTGTTTACATACAGCATCTTATCTCAGAGCTGGTAGTAGTACACAATGGAACCCATCTTGCTTATTTCATGGTATATATTGGTAGATATGTTACAAAACCTACAGACGTCAGCTTTACAAGGAAATGAATGAACTCATCACAAAAATCAAGAGACTGTACATTTTTATGTACTCTGATAAATTAAAAGGTATGGCTTGTGTAGAGGTATTTTCTCTTTTGCTTTTCTACAGCGACTGCCTGGCTCTGTAGAGGTATTTTCTCTTTTGCTTTTCTACAGCGACTGCCTGGCTCGATTGGTGTTTGGAGCTGCAACAGTAGTAGCAGTAGAAGTGGAGGGAAGCCGTACAAGAGCAGGTTGTGGAGGAGGAGCAGCAAGAGCATAAGGAAGTCTTGAAGACGAGCTCTCGATGAGTCCCGCAACTCCAGCAGCAGCAGATTGTGCATTCGAAGGGAGGAAAAGATCGTGTTTCTGATCTTTATATGCACTCCATATCTGAAAGCAAAATTTCAATTAAAAGATAAGCTGAAAGAATTGGAAAGAAAAACAAAGTCTGATTGTTAACCATCTGAGCAGCTCAGGCAAATCCACAGGAACAAATAGATGTAATCTTGAGGTCCGTCGAAAACAATTATATAGCAGGAGGATTCACCGAAAGTAAAGTCCACCAATAATGGGTAAAGTGTCGAGGCAAAACATCATGAAGATCCATATTTCTAGAATATATCTTAACGTTCTGAAACAAAAGGATATTAAAGTAGGAAAAAAGATAGGGAGAAATCTACTTTCTCAATCTTGTAGGAAACACATTTTTTTCCTTTTCATTTTGTGCATAGTATATCGTCGAAAAGTTGATAGAAGAAAACTATACTACCCTTATGTGCATTATCCCAAGAATTAAAAAAAAATTAACAATGTCGGAACGTAAATTTAAAGAATTCCATATTGCATAGGGCTTATGCACCAACTTATGGGAACAAAGAATTATGGCTAGGTCATACAAATGCAGATATCTGTGGCAAAAAACAATGTACAGTAGACCTAAGCTCCATATTATAGGTAAAATATGTACTGATAATCAAACAAGGGGGGCGTGATATCAAATGAAATGAAAGCCCAAAATTGCTGAACCTTGGTATCCACTCAGTTAACCTATAAGGCGTTATAAGCGTGATTTCCCACAATTATAATTGCTTTCGTAGAAAAATGAATTAGAGGTAAAAGAATGAATAATAAGCTTGAAACTTACATTAGAAGCATTCAAAATTTCACGAACTTTAGCACAATGAGCGCCTTCAGTTGCAAATGCATGCAATACCTGGAATAGCACAAGTTACTTGTAAAATAATCACGCTCTATGTAAAATACAATATTTTGTAGCAGCCCTAATCAAAGAAAACAAGATAACCATCAAGGCTAAATGATGCAGTGTACTTCTTACAACCAAGTTTAAAGTGAAGCTTGACAATTGGAAAGTTTTAATATCTTTCTTTTCCAAATATTGTAGAAGCTAACAATTTCAGTTTCCTCAAAACGCAAAGGAAGCAGCTTACTTGCGAGGGTAGTTATTCCCTTTCTCAAGGGTTTTACTACTTGCAAGAGAAAACTCCAAAGGATATGTATAAGAAATAATAAGAAACATAAATATGTGTACCACAAAAATTTCATTGAAGATCCAAACGACATTTTCAACTGAGTTCCAGCAAAAAAATGGGTTTCATGTTAAACACCCTGACTGGGAGAGGTAGAAAGCGTAATTAAAGTTACCAGCACAACATCCCAAAACATGTGGTTTAAAGAATTCTACAAGTTGGGTGTTTGTAATCAGCAAAACATCTCATAATACGAGGTTTAAAGCATTACAACAAGTTGGGTTTGTAACACATTATTAGATCAAGAGGCTTAGTAAAAATCATAACTAAGATGGAAAACCAAAGTATTTTTAATCAAAAGCACAATTTTTGTCCATTTCAACCCAAAGACATATAAGTACGTGTGCTTCAAAATTCGCGATTTCATAGGCTACAACTACCCATTTTAGTTCATTTTTAACTCGTTTCGGCCTGATGACACGTAGTTTAAAATGTGCAATTTTCACGGGCTATATAACCAACGATTTTGGCAAATTCTGGTCGTTCGACCCAATGACAATTAAATATACTTACATTAAAATTCCTGATTATCATGAGCTATAACCCACGATTTTTGTCAATTTTTATTTGTCAACCAAAGACAATTAGTATGTGTACTTTAAAATTTGTGATGTCATAGCCAATGACTCCTAATTTGTTCATTTCTGTTCGTTTCGACCAAATAGCAATTAAGTACATATAGTTATATTCTTGACTTTTATAGGCTATAACCCACAATTTTTGTTCAATTTCACCTAGTTTGACATAATGTCACGTAGTTCAAAACGTGCAATTTTTATGGACTATAACCCACAATTTTGACAATTATTTTTTGATTTGAATCAACGACTATTGAGTACTATTAACAATTAAGCACGATTACTTCAAAGTTCGTAAACTTTCCTAGGCTATAACCCACCAATTTGTCAGTTTTTGTCTATATCAACCAGAAGACACTTACATGTACTCCGTAATTCATGATTTCATAGGCTGACTAATGACTCTTGCTCATTTTTTATTGTTTTGACCCAATAGCAATTGAGTACGCGTAATTAAAAGTTCTTGAATTTCACGGGTGATGACCCATGAATTTTGTTCATTTTCATTCGTTTAGACATAATGTCATGTAATTCAAAATTTGCAATTTTCAATGGCAGTAACTCATGATTAAGGCAATTTTTACCCAATGACAATTCAAGACGCTTAAATTGAAATTCCTGATTTTCATTAGCTAGACCCATGATATTCAAAAAAAAAAATTATCTATTTCAACCCAAAGACAATTAACTGCTTGTACTTCAAAATTTACAATTTCATAGGCTACGCTAATGATTTTTGTTCAGTTTGGTCCATTTTGAACCAATAACAATCAAGTACACGTAGTTAAAAATTATTGATTTGCAAGTGATATGACCCACAATTTATGTTCATTTTCATCCGTCTTAACTTAATGACACGTAGTTCAAACTTTATCATTTTCATGGGCTATAACCCATGATTTTGACATTTTGTTTATTTTGACTCAATGACAATTAAATACAAATACTCTAACATTCGTAAATTTTGAGGGCTATAACCACAAAGTTTTAGGTTTTTGTTTTTTTCAACAAATAAATAAATAAGTACGTGTACTTCAAAATTCGTAATTTCATAGACTATAAATCCCGATTTTGCTCATTGTTGCCTGTTTCATCCAATATCAATTAAATACGAATGGTTTAAATTTATCGATTTTCATATGTTTAACCAAGAATTTTTGTTCATTTTCATCATTTCAACCTAATGACGATTAAGGGAATTTTTGACCTGATGACAATTACGTGTGCTCACGTTGAAATTCCCAATTTAATGAACTATAATCCATGACTTTTTTTAATTTTGTCTATTTCAACTCGAAGAAAAATGACTACTTCAAAATTCGAGATTACATAGGCTATATCTCACGATTTTTTTCATTTTTGTCCATTGACACAATACATATAAAGTATGCATAATTAAAACTGCTTGATTTTCATTGGCTATAGCCTACATTTTTTGTTCATATTCATTTGCTTTGATCTAATGGTACATATTTCAAAATGTGCAATTTTCATGAGCTATAACTCATGATTTTGACAATATTTATTCATTTCAAACCAATTACTATCCAGTACGATTACTTCAAAATTGGTAGACTTCTGTGGGCCATAACCCACCATTTTTAAGTTTTTAACTACGTCAACTCAAAGACAAACCAATATGTGTAATTTAGAATTCACAATTTCATAGGATATAACTCATGATTTTTATTAGTTTTGTCTGTTTCGACCCAATTACAATGAACTACGCGTAATTAAAAATTCTCGAATTTCCAATGATTTTTATTCATTTTCATCCATTTTGATCTAATCACACATAATTCAAAATTTACAATTTTCATGAGCTGTAACCCACGATTTAGGATTTTTTTGCGCGTTCGACCTCATGACAATTAAGTACTCTTACAATAAAATTGCCTATTTTCATGAACTATGACTTGTGCTTCTGTCAGTTTTTGTCAATTTCAATCATAAAAAATTAAGTGTACTTCAAATTTCACTATTTCATAGGTTCTAGTTCGCGATATCTGTTTATTTTTGTCCGCTTTGACCTTGCGTAGTTAAAAATTCTCTATTTTCTATAACCCATATTCTTTATCCATTTTGACCTAGTGACACGTAGATCAAAATTTACAATTTTCATGAGCTATATCCCATAATTTTAATAAATTTTGTTTGTTTCGATCTAATAACAATTAAGAATTACAACTTCAAAAATTCATATATTTTTGTGGACCAGACCCACGAATTTTTTAATTATTGTCCAACCTAGAGACAAATAAGAACGAACTATGACTATTTTTGTTTATATTTGTCTGTTTCGACCCAATATTAACTAAGTATGCACAGATACAATTTCTCGATTTTCTTGTCCATGAGTTATGTTCATCTTCATTGTTTCGACCTTATGGCACACAGTTCAGAACATGTCATTTTCATGGGCTATATAACCCACGATTTAGGCAAGTTTGAACATTCGATCCGATGACAATTAACTATGCTCACATTAAACTTCCTGATTTTCGTGAACAAATAACCCACGAGTATTGACAATTTTTTCTATTCCAACCCAAAGACAAATAAGTATGTGTACTTTAAAATTCGCAATTTCATAGGTTATAACTTACAATTAACGTCTAGTTTTGTCCGTTTTAACCTAATAGCAATTAAATCTGCGTAAGTATTTTTTTTAAATTTTCATGGGCTATATATATATATCACACAATTTTTGTTCACGTAGTTCAAAATTCATAATTTTCATGTGCCATAAGTCTATAGTCAATGAATTAGGAAAATTTTATTTGTTTGAGTCTATGACAATTTAGTATGCTAATATTAAAATTCCTGATTTTCATGAGCCACCTACATGTTTTGTTAAATTTTGTCTGTTTCAACCCAGTTACAAGTACATGTACTTTAAAATTCGCCATTTCATAGGCTATATAACTCATGATTTTTGTTTATTTTTATCGACTTCGACCCAATGACAATTGAGTATGTCTAGTTAAAATTTTTCTATTTTCATGGGCTACAACACACAATTTTGTTCTTTTTCATCTATTTTGACCTAAGGGTGCATAATTCAATATTTGCAACTTTTATCAACCGTAAACCACAATTTCTGGCAATTTTTATTTGTTTCAATACAATGACAATTACCTAAATTACTTCAAAATTCGGAAATTTTTGTGGTCTTTAACCGACGAATTTTTCAATTTGTCAATTTAAGCCTAAATAAAATTAAGTACGTGTACTTCAAAATTTGCAATTTCATAGACTATGTTTATTTTTATCCTTTTCGATCCAACAACAATTAGGTACATGTAGTTAAAAATTCTCGATTATCATGAGCTATAACTCACGACTTTTTGCTCATTTTCATTCGTTTCGACCTAATGACACATAGTTCAGAATTTGTAATTTTCATGGGCGATGTAACGCACTATTTTTGACAATTTTCGTTTGTTTTGACTCCATGACAATTAAGTATGATTACTTCAAACTCATAAGTTTTTGTCAATTTTTATTGTTTCAACCTTATGTTACCCGGGTACTTCTACAATGAAGTCGCATCTGTGTTTGACACGTACTTGTACGCAAACTTCATGGACACTTCTTGGATATATACATACATTTACTCAGTGTTATTCAATTATAAGATATGATTTGATTTAAAACACAATGAAAAAGTCTCGATTTTCATGGGCTACGACCTAGGAAACCCAGGATTTTTGTTCATTTTCATTTGCTTCGACCTAATAGCACGTAGTTCAAAATTTAACATTTTCATGGGCTAAACTTGACGATTTTGGCTATTTTTGTTTGTTTTGACCAAAGAAAAATATAATTATTTCAAAATTTATAAATTTTCGTGAGCTAACCCTTGAATTTGTCAAAATGTGCCTATCTCAACACAAAGACAAGTAAAATATGTGTAGAAACGGTGAAACGGTGAGTTATATTTCACGATATCTGACGCAGACGTAGAAACGGTGAGGCCGATCGGATATCGTTCCGATGCCGACGAACTCTGACAATAACAGATAGATAACAAGCTTGAATCCACAAGCCTTAATTTTCCAAAGTTTAGGGAAGAAAATAATGGAGAA